AGGTACCTGTGAGGTTAGCCTTAGGGTTTGTGGTCAGGGTTAGGATATAAAATTACCAAAAAAATAAATGGAAGTTAATGGACGGGCCCCACAAGTATATAAAAACAAGTTTGTGTGTGTGTGCGTGCGCTGCTTCGTCATCAYGCCTCACCATTCACCACGCCTCTGTTTGTGTCACAGGTGTGAGGTGGGCTTTCACGGTGCCAGGTGTGACAGCCCGGAGTTTGGTACCGGGCTGCAGGATGAAGGACAGATAGTCATCATCATTTTCTTCGTGGTTCTGCTGATGATCGGCCTGACGGGAGCTCTCTACTTCTGCTTCAAGTGGTAATTTATTGTTTTGTATTCATGCATCCATTTGTTTTCTTTGCCTTCGGGGAGAAAACCCACACACGCACAGGGGGAACAGGSAAAAATTCACCTAATACGCTAACGCTGGTGATTTGCTGCATTTGAAGTGATGTCGGACAGGAAGGTGCTGCCAAATTAGGAAGTCTAAACAGGGAGTTACTCAAGACTGATGTTGCAACGAAGTAAAAAAGAAATAAATATCCCGAATTTGGCAATAATTGATCAAACTGTGTGCACACCAGAGTTTGATGAGTGAAATGGAGGAGGGGAGCCGAGCTGCAGGTTAGAACAAGGTGATAAAGAATGGTTCTTTGGAAGCTATGAAACACTGGAGAAAGGATGGGGGAGGCTCTTARTAAAGGGAAATCAAGATCAATTTAATAATAAAGTTGAAAAAAGTTGTTCCAAAAGATAAAACAGCCCAGAGCCATTTGTTCTTCCTATTCAAAGAGATCTGATCTGAACACTTTAAATGATCATCGAAGAGTCTGGCTGCTTGGAAGTAAAACATGAATTTAAAGTCACAGAGCGATGCTTGGATGGTTCTCAGTAATGAGGGCGTTGCTTCGGTCAGTCGTAGTGAAGAAAGAGTTGAGCCGAAAGGCAAAGCTCTTGAAAGCTCAGCCTGGAAGGTGGGGAGCTTGAGTCTCTACTGGACACCTCTCTTTGGAGGTTTTTCCAGGCRTGTCCTGTAGAAGGAGACCCCAGAACAGACCCAGAACCTGCAGGAGGGATTCTGGGAACACCTGGGATCCACCAGGAGGAGCTGGACGTCAGACACAACCATGGATACATGGTGGAAAATGGATCGATGAATAAATATTGTGCTGGATAGCCAAAAAAGCTGAAACTAGACTAAAAATAGCTTTAAAAAGAAGCTGAAATTATCGCAAAGAAACTGAAAAAGCACATTTGCTGAATTAAACAGTAAGAAGGTAAAATTATCAAAAAAARGTGAATTTTGCTTAAATAAAGCTTAAATTACCTAAAAAGTAGCTAAAAACATGAAATGAACAAAAAGCAACTGAAAGAAGCATAACAATTAGCCGTAAGATTTTCAAAAAGCTTCAATTAGCAGAAAAAGAATGATAGCTAGAAAAGCAGAAGAAAGCTAAAATCAGCAGCCGAAGGAAGCTGAAATCAGCCGACAGAAGTTAAAAACAAACAGAATCAGATCAAACAGTTCAATAAAAACAGCAAAGGTTAATGAAGAAGATGGCTCCTTCATTTTTAAAGAGAAAAACATGACAGAAAAAGCTAAAACTCTCAAAAAGTCTGAATTTACTGAAGAAGCTGAATATAGCTAAAAAACATACAGAAGAAAAATTATCTTATTGTTTAAATGTTTTATAAGTATTCACACAATAAAACTCTATATTAGTTGAAAGGCAAAAATTCAGTCATGTCATCCAAATTCAGAGGAACGAGAAGTAAATGATAGAGGCTGGATTAATATCAAACTAATCGTTTGTGACGTGTTGTTCAAAGTTCACAACATATTAATCAGGCTCAAACGTCACGATTATAAAATCTTTAGCTGACACAGACTTTCATCATCCCCAACTGAAAGGCAAACACTATTAAAACCCAAAAAGAAAAAAATTGTATAGGTCTTCTGGACGGGTTCTTCTCTAATGAAACGTTTCGTCTCTCCTCCAAGAG